GCGTAGGTAAAGTATAGAGTTAAAGTAATAATAGTATATTATTGTAACGCTAAAATCTATATTACTAATATTAGTGCTATTTTCTCTTAGACGCTCTATAAAGATTTGCGTTTAAGCCCGCTTATTAGTCTAGAAGTTTTATAGTATTTAATACCTTTATTTTTTAGGCTGCAATTAGCTTAGTAGCTTTAAGAAGTTTTTAGTGCTGCGCTAGCGCGTTAGCGCGGCGCTAGCGCAAGGGTCGAACGCACAGAATCTCGGAGGAGCGTATGATTTATGAGATAATCGAGCTCCAAATCTTCATGTTGGCAGACGTCCAGCCCATCAACAACGCCGAATTACCTCCCCCCCATCACCCATCCGCCATTCGGAGGCAGCCCATTATGCTGCGCGCCTCCATCCTACGGGCCCGTCCAGCTGCCCGCCCATTGGCCCGCGCCGCCCGCCCGCAATGGCTCCCAGCCCAGCGCTGCTACGCCGATAGCAAGAACCTGGGCGAGACGGCCGTCCCCAATCCCGCGCCCACCACCTCGCCCTCCGACCCCAAGGGCACCATCCCCACCTCGGACATCCCCAAGGCACCGCCGGCGCCCGACAGCACCGTGACTGCAGGCGCATCGCGTGATGCTCCCGCCATATCGCCCAAGACGACACCCCCCACCGGCCCCGGCTCGTCCAGCATCGCCCCCGACCCCATTCAGCCCAAGCCCAAGAAGAAGAGACGCATATTCCGCAAGCTGCTGCTCTGGCTGACGGTCCTCTCTGGCCTCGGGTACGCCGGCGGTGTCTGGTACTCGCTCGTGTCGGACAACTTCCACGACTTCTTCACCGAATACATCCCCTACGGCGAGGATGCCGTCGCCTACTTCGAGGAGCGCGAGTTCAGGCGGCGATTCCCCGGCCGCGCTGGCGAACCACGACTGCACCCCCAGATCTCGGGCGAGAACAAGGTCACCATCCCCGGACGGAGCGGCTTGACTGCGCGCCCAGCCCAAGAGAACAAGAGCGACCTCGCCTCCAAGGGCCCCCATCTGAGCGCCGTCGATGCCAACAAGCCCCAGGACAAGACCGAGTCAGGCGGCCAACAACCCAAGGTCTCCTCTCCTACGCCTGCCCCCGCGGAGAAGAAAGCCCCGGTTAAGGAGGTCGAGGTCAAGAAGGAGACCGCCACGCCCATCTCCCAGCTCGACCACCTCAGCGTACCCTCCGCGACCGAACCCGTCGTCCAGGATGTCGTCAAGATCGTCAACGACATCATCACCGTCATCAACGCCGACAACGCCCACGACGGCAGGTACAACTCAGCGCTGGACAAGGCCAAGAGCGAGCTCGCCAAGGTCGTCTCCGACATCAACCTGATGAAGGAGAGCCTCCAGAAGCAGACCGAAGACAAGGTCAAGGCCGCCCACGCCGAATTCGACGAGGCCGCCAAGGAGCTCGTCCAGCGTCTCGACCACCAGATGCAAGCGCAAGAAGCCCAGTTCAAGGAGGAATTCGAGAACGAGCGCGAGCGTCTGTCGCAATCCTACAAAGAGCGCCTCCAGTCTGAACTCCAGGCCGCCCAAAAGGTCTACGACCAGAAGCTCAAGAACCAACTCCTGGAACAGAGCATCAACATGCAAAAGTCCTTCACAGCCAACGTCCGGGAGCGCGTCGAAGCCGAACGCGACGGCCGTCTCGGCAAGCTCAACGAGCTCTCCTCGTCTGTGCACGAGCTCGAGAAGTTGACTGCGGAGTGGAACAGCGTCGTCGACGCCAACCTCAAGACGCAGCACCTCGTCGTCGCCGTCGAGGCCGTCAAGTCGGCTCTCGAAACTCAGGCTATCCCCAAGCCCTTTGTCACCGAGCTCGCGGCGCTCAAGGAAATCGCCCAGGACGACCCCGTCGTCAGCGCCGCCATCGCGAGCATCAACCCCGCCGCCTACCAACGCGGTATCCCCAGCTCCGCCCTCCTAATCGACCGCTTCCGCCGCGTCGCTTCTGAAGTCAGGAAAGCGGCTCTGTTGCCTGAAGACGCTGGTGTGGCTTCCCATCTCGCTTCCCTCGCCATGTCGAAGGTGCTGTTCAAGAAGTCGGGGTTGGCTGTTGGTGGCGATGTTGAGGCTGTGCTTGCACGGACTGAGGTTCTGCTCGAGGAGGGTGATCTTGATGCTGCAGCTAGAGAGATGAATGGTCTGCAGGGTTGGGCGAAGGTGCTAAGTAAGGATTGGTTGGGCGAGTGTAGGCGGGTGCTGGAAGTTAAGCAGGCGTTGGATGTTATTGCTACGGAAGCGAGACTGAATAGCTTGCTCATTGACTAGACGGGGACGTGGACATAGCCTTGTACTCCTCCTTTTTTATGTTCCTGGCACTACGGTAGTTTTGTACGAGTATTAGTCTATAGACAACGTGTTCTGTTCCTCTCGCACATGCTTGTTTAATTCTGTGTTCTTATCTCTCCCATGGTACCGCCATGACCCATAGATGACGAGCCACTCACGACTCTCGCAATACACACGAGACACACGATGGCTTAATCCGCCCATCAAATAATGGAAGGGATAGGAAGGGATGAGAAAGACGTCTGTGTTCTATCTGGGCCTTGGTGATTGTTGGTATATCACGATTTACTCGGTATAGTCTTCTCTCACTCAGTGTCAAAACTTCCCCAACGCCATGGTATGGAGGTCAAAAGCCTCCAAGGCAGCCTCTTGGGGCTTCAGAAACTGGTCAATCCATCCGCGCCATTCCCCGTCATACGGTGCTGTAAAAGCGGCTTTACAGTACTCCCAATAATCCGGATACCATCCTGCTTGCTCCCAATCCACGATAGCCGCCACGCGAACAGGCGACTCGGCTGTCACGATAATGTTAGCCGGCCGTAGATCACCGTGCGTCAGGACGATGGGTCCTGTGTCGGGTAGAAGCTGTCGATGGGTGTCTTCGATGCTCTTTGGATTTGGCACATCGCGTCGCCATAGCTAGGATAACCAGTTGTGGAAGGAGGCACGAGTAGGGAAGGGTTCTAGGAGGGGGGATTTGGAGACAGCGGTCTAAACTGGGTGCTTGGTGGATGGATCCTATGACTGGCTCCGCACCGGATAAGTTGCCACCCGATACCGTGAGGTGATTTCTTTGAGATGATGGCAGACACTCGCTTTATCCGCGGAAGACATCGAGTCCCCTTTCTCTTCGAGCGTGGGCCCTTTTATGTATTGCATGTAAATAAAAGTCTCGCTGCTCTTTCCTGCACGCTGCACAGCCCTCCAACCATACACTTCAGGCAACGGCACTTCATCTCCAAAGAGCTGCCTCATCATCCAGAGCGCCACGGCTTCGTCACTTTTCACGTCTAATCCGTGTTTAACAATCAAGTCGAAGCACTCGAAAACGACTGGATGAGAGGGACTAAGACGCGATGTAAGTGAGCGGACGTGGTCTGGGGAAGGGAAGGCTTGGGTTTGACCATCCTTTTTGAACCATGGTGATTCCAGGAAGTCTACCTGAGGTTGTGTGGGGTCAGGCATGTCTGTGATGCAGATCTGCGGAGGGCTGCTCATGATGGCTGATCAGGATAGGTCGATAACAGGCTACATACACTGGAAGGAACGCTGCTGGGCAGAGGAATCGTTTCAAGACTGGGCTTGTGGTTCGGGTTTCTTAGATATTTCTAGCACAAGGCGTTTATTATGTGACTTGATATAGTTGCGTCGTGTGTAGAGTCACAGAGTGGGGATGTTGTTGGATCGTTGGACTACGCCGTGCGTTGAGACCGGATGTCTGGTTGCGCCTGTCAGATCTTTGAGCTAGTCCATAAATGGATTAGTATCGGTGTTACGCCTACATAGCTACATTCTTTCTTCTCTATCTTTTACGCTTAAGCCTAAGAGGTCTTTTTATAAAAGTACTTTAGTTATATATATTAAAAAAGAAGATATTTAGTAATAGTAGTTTACTAAGCTATTTATCTAAAGTAGTTATTTTTATATATACTTATAGTAGCTAAAAATAACTTTATAATAAATATATAATAAGTTATTATAATAAGTTAGTATAATAAGTTTTATAATAGTTTATATTATAAAACTAAAGTTAAAGCTTAACTAGTAAGTTTATAAAATATATATTTACTACTTTTTTTTAAACTTTTTATTATAATAATAAATAACTAAATTATTATAATAATAAATACTTAGCTTATTATTTATTAACTTTTTAGCTTTTTTAATACTTTTATAGTATTATTTTTATATTTATATTTTATTTTTTTATTATAGTATAAGATTTTCTACTACTTACTTACTTTTTTTAAAGTAATACTTAAAAAACTAAAAATAATAGTAGTATAGCTACTTTATTAAAATATAAAAGTAGCTAAAATAATTTTATATATATTTAAGTAGCTTAATAATAATATATAATTAGTTTATACTTTAAAGTAAAGTTTTTAATATTATAGTACTAAGTTATTTTTACTTTTATATATAAAAAGTAGCTATAATTAAAGTACTACTTTTTTAGCTTACTACTAAGTAGTAGCTAATAATTTTTAAGAAAAAGTTTTTAAAAAAAGTATAGTAGTAAAAAGTAAGCTTAGTAAATATACTACTTACTAAGTTTAGTATATAACTAGTTTAAAATAGTTAAAATAGTTAAAGCTAGTATTATAAGTTAATTTTATAGCTTTATAATATTTACTATTTATATAAAAGAGTAGTATTATAAAAGAAAAAAATTTACTTTTAGACTAGCGCTTTAGTAAATAAAACTAGAATTATATTAATATATTAAGAGCTACATTCTTCTAAAGACCGCGCTATTACTGCACTGCACTATAGATAGACTTTGCGAAAGGAACTGTTTATGCATAATCTCTCTATTATAACTACTGCATTCACTGCGCAAACAATACAGTCGCGCTGCAAGAACAGGCAGGCAAACACATACCCGCATCCACGACACTTCCTTCATCCACCACCCTCATTCCCACCACCTCCTACCATAGCTACCACAACCCCCCTCTACCCATCTATACCTCCGAACCACTCCTGAACTATGCGCCTATCCTTCCAAAACTCCTCCTGCTCGGCATACGACGCCTGAGCAGATTCGATCAAGGTCTTGACAAGTGCTGTTACATCGTCCTTGTGATACCACTTTACGAGTAGATTCTCCACCTTCACTAACATTGAGTAGTAAGCGGTGCGGGCTTCGGAGATGGTGGTGAAGGATAGGTGGCCGATGGGGGGGTAGTCTTTGGTAGGGGGGTTGTTGGATAAGAAGGGGGATAAGAATATGGAGGAGTTAGAGGAGGCGTTCTCAACATCCTCCAGCTCTTCGTCATCCTCGTCATCGTCGATATCTTCCCAATCATTCTCATCGTCGACATCCTCCAACTCCTCGTCATCATCATCAACATCCTCCCACTCTTCCTCATCATCAGCTTCAAGCTCTTGTGTTGACGATACTATGGCTTCAAGCAACATGCCCATCAACTCTCGCAACCTTTTCTCGCTTTCAAGTGCTCTATCGGCCAAATCTCGTTCCTTTCGTTCCTTGAAAGCGCCACCACCTACAAAAGGACGCTTTGCGTGTGCTGTGGCTGTGGTCATGTTGTGAAAGGATTGCGGGGCTGTTGTTTGGTGGAGTAGGAGTGATTGAATGTAGCGGGAGTGCGCGCTGCCGTGGTGAGGGTTTCTTAGTTGTAGTGAAGTCTTGAAATATAGTTATGGGACGCGAGTGGTTTTGACGGTGTGAAATTGCTGTGTTGGTATGATGGATGGGTGGTGAATGTACAATAGGCCTACAACAGCGTCGGAACGCATTGTTAGATAATTCATGGAAGATTGTGAGGTATACTTAGATCTAGGGATGTATCGACGAAAGTGACGTGATATCATTGTAGGCAACTAAGTCATATATCCTCATCCTCAAATACAAGCGAACGGCACCCGTCGCCGCCAAACCTATCCTTCATCTCAGCTTCAACCCACCCAACTACCTACATATCCCTCTCAGCCCTCTTCCTAGCCCTCTCCTCTCTCTTCTCATTGCGCCTCCGCGCAGCCTCATCCTTCCTCGCCTGCCTATCCTCCTCCTTCTTCTGCTTGACCATAACATCAATCCGCTCAACCTGTTGCTCCCCCGTCAACCTCTCAAACATAACCTTCACCGCCTTAACCACCTCCTTCCCAGTCCTCCAATGCAGCCCCTTGATCTCCTCCACAAACGTCCACTCCGGATACTTGATCGATTTGTTGACGATATCCACAACCGGCACCATACTCCCCTCCATATTGATAAACTTGCGTGAAGCGGGAATGATCAGCCAAGTCACATGCTCATCCTCTTCGTCGACCCATTTCTGGAACTGGAACGTGGATGAAGGTGAAGGTGTTTTGATCTGCGTGGCGGGGATCTCGCGCTTGGTTTCTTGCCAGTCAAACTTTGTCATCGCGCCGCCGACGTCGCGATTGCTGTTGTTGTTGGCGAGCATGGCGGGGGCGACGTGTCGGACGTGCTTGGCTGCGAGCGCGTTGACTTCGGTGCGGCGCTCGGCGCCGGTGGGGATGTAGCGGGGGGTGGGGATGGAGCGCTGCTTTCGCATGCTGTCGAGGAATTTGTGAGCGTTGGTGGTGGATGGCTTTAGGGATGCGGCGGTGGCGGCGGTGCGGTATCGTCGGGTGGCTTCGGATTCTTTGCCTGAGGTCTTCTTGTTTGTCTCTTCATCGGCGGGTTTGGCCTTCTTGGATAGCGGAGAGGAGGAGGAGGAGGAGGAGGCGGAGTCGTCGGTGGTAGTGGAATCGCGTTTGCGCTTCTGGGTAGTAGGGACATAGGTGTCTTCGGGAGAGGAAATGGGTGAAGAGGTAGGCTGCGAAGCTTGGTCAGAAGTATTGATGAAAGCGGGCGCAGATGGACTCACGATAGGCGGTAAGTTGAGGCCCCAGGTAGTCTCGTCCTCGAATAGGTCGTCCAGGTCGTCGTCATTGCTGCTGTCGGAGGCGTTAGAAGACCAGCGGTGAGGCGTCATTGGCGCTACTTCGTCCAGCGAAGTTGGGCGCGAACGCGGAGCATCCATAATGACGGAGGCGGTAGGTACGATAGGGGTGGTTGTCGACATTGTCGGAAGCTGCGGTGTTGCAACGTTGAGTGACTATTGGATAATGGAGTGCAAATATGGTGCGTGTAGAAATCAAAATTTTGTAGACTGGATAGAGGGGATGAGAGTTGAGGAGACAGCCGTGACAAGAAGCAGATGATATAGGTCCCGACCTGGCTGAAGCTCTATAGAGAGGAGAAGACTGCTATTGTAGGTAACAAGTCTATTGTATTAGTGTGCGAAAGTGAATGCGACGCGTCGAGTTGTTCAGAAACAATAGCATCGGATGACGCAATGGCTGTGCAGTGACTGGATTATAGTATAAGTGAAAGGAGGCCTTCGAAGTAAGCACCGACGCATCACAGCGCAACATAACGAGGACGAAAGTGTTATACATGTGAAAATGGTGGAATGTGTTGATATAGTAGTCTCAACCTGCCAAAGCGACGTATGAGGTGACGCCCCCTCTTCCAATGATAAAGACTTCAGATCGAGGTGACGTTTGCCACCAAACCGTTCCTCCCCACTCGCGCTCTCCTCTCAAGAGTAAAATAACGCAGTTCTACCTACCAAGACGTATCCAATCGCGCCACGTACTGCCGCCTCGATCTGGTACTCGCTGTTTCCGTGGTAGGTTACCGGAAGGTATGTGTTCGGCAGTGATGGATGGACTGTGTGGACAACAGCGACGTTGGAGACTTCCCTCACTATCGTGAACTCGTTGTAGAGGAGTCCACGCATCTGCGTCAGTTGTGCCGGCTCCTCCGAGTTTGTTTGACTTCCTTCGTCTCGTACGGCCGGCCTTGACGATGGGTATGCTGGCGATATGGGCCATTCCCCTAGGGATGCATCGGAGTATATCGGGACCGCGGTGGAATGCGATGGCGTCGATTGAGAGTATAGTGGCCATGTGGGAGGGTATTGCGGAGAGGGGGGAGAGTATCCTGGTGATGTGGGCGATTCTCCTAGTGATGCGTTGAAGGACATTGGAAACGTTGGCGAGTATGCTGGAGATGCGCTTCCAAAGCCCGCGACAGACGGAACTTGCAGCGACAAATTCGGATTGACGTTCATGCCCAATGACGTCGCAACCTCCTCTTCGTCATCATCAGAAAAGTGTGTCGGTTCCTCCATGTCGTCAAAGGCGGGGAGATCTTCGACCGAAACTCCCATGGACGCGAACCAGAGTCGCTCGGCTTCTCTCACTGCAGCGTACGGACCCAATTCTGAGAGCCGGCTCTCAGCGTCTTGGATTGCTTGCGCTTCCTGCATGGCTTGGATCTCGTGGGCCGTCATTGGCGTGTACTGGTACATCGCCTCGCGACACGAAGGGCATTTGTCGCGGGGTGAGCCCCAGGTCTCCGTCCACTGGATGATGCACTTGCGATGGAAGACGTGCGAACAGCTCTTGACTGCGACCATGTCATACGACGCATCGTTGAAGTCCTCTTGGCAAACAACGCAGATACCGATATCTGAAAACTTGGGTGCGCCGGGCAGAATGCGACGAGGCGCCAAATGATCGCGATAGAACTCGGTGCGGGTGGGTAGAGCCATGGTGCGGGTTGGTGGATGTGAGTTCTTTGGTACTGAGTGTGGTTGTAGGTAGTGAAGAGGAAGCAAGTTGGTGGACTGGGTCAGGGTCTGCTTGCGGAGAAACCAGGGTTGCCCGGTTGGGTGACGCTCGCCTTCACCGCAAGACGTAGTCGTGGTGTGTGGGGTTGACAATGCTTCAGCCATGAATAATAGGCGTATCCCTATTCATTGTCTTGTCCGCCAGTAAGCAGTATGTTATTGGCGAGGCGTCCGTTCCTCAGGCCGCTGGTTGGCCTAGTGTTTGGTCGCGAACCATGGATACGCACCATATATTCTCGCTCAGATCCCACAGAGCCTCTGCGGAATACCGTATAAAATGAGCCTTCAGCACACACTTCTTTCGAGATCGATACATCTCCTGCTCAAGCCAAAATCCTATTCGCCCTTCACGCCGCCCTTCACGCCGCCATCCAAGCCTCACTCGCAACTTCACAGGTATCCACCATGGCCATACCAACTCTCTACACATTTTACACCACCAGTCTCACTGCCTTCACACCCAACAACCTTGAAGATGAGTGTCCCATCTGCGCCATCTCATATCGCGAGGCTTTGAGCGACGTGGCGCCAGACGTCGTCGCGACCCCCTGCGGCCACAAGTTCCACCGCGACTGTCTCGACCATTGGCTGAGGGACGGTCCAAGTGACGAAGCTACATGCCCCAACTGCCGCATGGGTCTTTGCCAACGCCCTAGACCGAAAAGGGATTTCGCTCTACAGTGTCTTGATCCTGCTCTCTCAGACAACTGGGCAGAGGAGAAATGGGAGGCAATATATCTCATGGAACATTTGTTAAAGACTACTGGCTTGACGGACACGATTTACGAAATCGTCGAAAAGTTGTTCGTGATACTTGGCAAGTTACGAAAAGATGCGACTGGAAGGTTGTCAACAGGTCTTGCATGGGCAGACATTTTCCAGCATGCGTTTCCTTGCTACAAAGACTCACTACGTACGGCCGCGCAATCTTCCGATATGAGCCAAAGGGGAACCTCGCTCGAGGAAGAAAAATTGTTGTATCCTGGCGGGCCAGGAGAATACGTTGCAGTGCGTACGATCTTGAGGGCAATCGCGAAATCTAACAGGGAGAGAGGATGGGTCGATTCTGCTTTATTGGTTGTACTTGACCGGTTCGGAGACTGGGAAAAGGAAGAGACGATGAGTATCGTTGAGGCTTATCGAGGGCTCGGATTCTTCGCGTTGGCAGACGAAGCAGAAGATGAGACAGAATGCGTGATATAGGACAACTTCCGGGATGATGTATCCAGCATGATGCGAACAATGAGTTCTGGGTAAGGTCGGAGCCTTCTGCGATCTTTTTAGGGCCGTTGGGAACGTCGGCGGTTGACGTTGCGCTCCCAAAGTTAGCGAATCAATCCTGGGCATATCTATATTAGTTCATGTCGACGGACCAACTTCGCGCTGTGATGTTGAAAGCAATCGTGCGCTGAAACCTCTGTGGACATTGTCTGAGCATGACTTGAGACAGATGTCTCACGACTGGAACGTGACTTTCTTCGCGAAGACATGGCCAAGCTAGCCGCGGGCTACAAGTCAGCTTGTAAAGTAGCGCAGAAGACCGCTTCGACCGCATCTCAAGCATCATGGGTGACAGCCAGTCAGGAGTAGCAAGCTGGCTAGAAGTACGAAGCTTATCAAACGGATCGAGCTTGTCGACGCGATCGACTCCGACCTCAAGCATTATGGGCGATAGTCGGTCGCGAGTAGCAAGCTGGTTGAAAGTACGAAGCTTATCGGACGTATCGAGCTTATCGAGCCTGCCGACGCAATCAACCTCATCCACAATCACGTCCATCGCCGCGGTTCCTCGCGAGAACACACCCTTCAACCATTCGGCTATTCTTCGCGGTATACACAGCACTTTGATCGAGAAGTCTTATCCGCAACAACCAGATATCAGTCCCTCGGTTCTCGACAGCTTCGGCGAGAGGATAGTCGAACGTGTACAACAGGAGATCGCCACGATCGTGTCGACTGACGGTTTTGGTCCCGGAACAGACTGGGATCGGCGCGTTCTCAGGCCGATAATCGCGACGTTCGAGATCGAAGAGGACCTTGGAGTATGTCAGGGGGATGCAGAGTACGTGTTCCTGCTGGTCACTGTGCTATCATTAGCGTACGAAGTCTTGCTCTTAGCAGATAAGAGCAAGACAAGCAAAACGCATGCATTCCTTGAACAAGTGTTCGACGAGTTTTTCATAGAGCCGGAAATGTGCCGAACAGTTGGACTTCTACTCGACGCTGAACGGGAGCGGCTGGCTCGAATGAACGCCGAGATCAAGACAACGAAGGCGCTCCAGGATATGCGGATGCTGCTGCCCGAGATCAACATGTGTATAACGGTTTGGGATGTGAACATGCTCCGTAGCCTGCGAACCAGCGATGTTTCGACTTATGTTCGACGACATGTTCACATGTACGATGTGCTAGGGCCGGAGGTACGCATCTCTAGGTGGAGCGACGAGGCGGCCGCCTCGTTCTTCAAAGAAGCTGCCACATTCGCACCAGTGCGCTCTACTACCGAGGCTGCTTCCGATGTGCAGGTGAAGGTCTTCCTGGAGCGCGGTTGTTCGTTGCCAATATACTCCGTAACCTCCATCGCCTTCCGTGGGGATCGCGCGATAATACGCACGTCCGAGGGTCTGAGTACGGAGCTTGAGGAGAGCTGTTCAATCTCTTCGATTACCGGAGTCTGTGACAGAATGCGTCTCACGAGGTGGGAGGGTTCCAAGGATGGCTTCATTGGTACGATGTCCATTCCTCCGGGTTGCTCGTATCGTGCGGCCAATGTGACCGGCGTAGCCGAAGGAATAAACAATACGCTCCTGACGATTATCGATACAGAGACTGCTACGTTCGAATTGGATGGAGACAACTATCGTATCAGGCCTGTGGATTTCGGTAGTAGTATCGTGGTGGAACATCGCTGTCAATAAAGAGCGCTATTCGCACGCGCGATAGGACAGGTGTCACGTTCATGGCCGAGCGTTCGGTGTGGAAATGGAGAGGAGAATGTAATATCGCGTTCAGAAGGACTCCGAATCGTAGGCTATATCCATTGTTGATGACGCTGTCGTGCAAAGTGGTGATGCTCGTGTTGCGTTGAAGGAGGCCACATGCGCCATCGGCAGCTCGGCGGATTGAAGATGACTAAGATGCACTAAGCCAAACACGGCGATGACGCACCACCGAACTTCGCGATTGCGCACCACCAAGCGCAACTCGCGTTACGGTATCAGATCACTCTGGATCGCCACTCGGATACTAGCTAGTCACAACCTGGGATACCTTACTTCTGCGATACCAAGCTTCTCTCGCAATGCGGCGCACCCAGCAATCCCAACAAGCTTCTTCTTTCGGTTTTCAGACACCCAGAGTTCAGCACAGGATATCCATTGCACGCG